TGTCTGAGGACAGGTGGTTCTTCCTCAGAGTCCTCAAGAAGAAGAGGCGCTGGTGAGCCTTCTTGACCAGCTTGGAGCAGTTGGTCGTCCAGGTGAGATCCTCGGAGATGTGGACTCCCAGGAACTTGAAGCTGCTCACACGCTCCACAGCCGTCCCCTTAATGTGGATGGGTGGATGTGGGTCAGCATTCCTCCTGTAGTCCACGATGAGCTCCTTGGTCTTCTCGGTGTTAAGCAGCAGGTTGTTTCTGTCGCACCACTCAGCCAGACGATCCACCTCCTCCCTGTAGGCGGCCTCATCGTTGTCACTGATGAGGCCAATCACCGTGGTGTCATCTGCAAACTTAATGATGGTGTTGGAACCATCAGCAGGTCTGCAGTCGTGGGTGAAGAGGGAGTAGAGGAAAGGGCTCATCACACAGCCTTGTGGTACACCGGTGTTCATCGTGATTGTAGATGAGCAGCGGTTATCCAGCCGGACATGTTGGGGGCGGTTGGTCAGGAAGTCCAGTAACCATTTGCAGATGAGGGAACTGATGCCCAGGTCTGTCAGTTTCCTGATGAGTTGTGAGGGGTGGATTGTATTGAACGCTGAACTGAAGTCTATAAACAGCATTCTGGCGTAGGTGTTGTTGTTGTCCAGGTGTGAGAGGACAGAGTGCAGTGCGATGGAGACTGCATCCTCTGTGCTCCTGTTCTGGCGGTATGCGAATTGGTGGGGGTCCAGGGTGGGGGGGAGACAGGATTTGAAGTGTGCTAGGACCAGCTGCTCTAAGCACTTAGTGATGATGGGGGTGAGTGCTACTGGGCGGTAGTCATTGAGGCAAGAGTTCAAACACCTGCGTCTCAGATAATGGTGGTGCCTCAGTGGAACCAGCAGCGTACTTGTAGAGTCCATGTGCTGAACTGGCCAGCCTGCAGTCCAGACTTTTTACTACCTGAGAAGATCTGGAGCCTCATAAAGCAAAAGAAACCATAAAGAATACTCGAGTATCGAGCAGCTACAATCCTCCATCCTCCCCCAGGTCCAGGAGCAGAAACAGATGTTACACAAGCTGTCGCTGATTTGCGACCCCTGGACACTATCAACCTGTTATAAACAGGTAAATTCAAAGTGAATTTAAACAGCATCAACATCTTTAATGTAAATTGATGTCTGCTGCTCTCAGTGTAATTTACCATTGACCATGAACACCGCAGCTGCTCTGCAGCAGTCAAACATCGAGCATCACTGTAAATTTCACTGAAAACTAACCAGTGTAGCCTGCACTAAACTTTACCAGACTGACAGAATAACATCAACAATAACCGGTTATGTCAAAGCTAAAGATGTTTATTGACTCGTACAACAGACTGAGATGCTGAGTTCTACAAGTGAGAACTTTATTTACAACCACACATTGAGCAGTCTGTTGTAGGCAGTATTCTTTTGGAGATTGTGTTTTAGGTTTATCCCATGATCTTAAAAACTAAAGCTAAAAGGCATTTCCAAAACATTTCACTTTATGTTAGGAAAAATGCAAAAATGCACACAAAAGATGAGGCTAGAAATCAATGTTGACTGTTAGTGACCTTCAGATGGGTTTAGATTAAGTTTTATAAGAACAAAAAACTAATACAGAGATATGAGAGGAGGAAGAGGCTGAAGGAGGAGCAACACTGTCACAGAGCAGAAAAGGACTCCCACTGTCAGATACATTCAATATGTGAAGCATACAGAACAGATAGTGTGTGGAAGATGCTGTCACTGCATTACTGGCTCATGTTTCCTTTGTTTGTGATCACACTAACAGGTCGGTTAAAGCAGGAAGAAGAAATGTCTTTAAAGGATCTGTTTGCTAGAAATCACTGGAACAGGCGCTCACAGTTTAACATCGTCTTTAACAACATTTATCTCTTCCTTTAGGTGTCAGCTGTGATCAACTCACTGCAGTCAAGGATGAAGAGTCCACTGTAGAAGGAAACACTCTCACTCTGTCCTACAGATTATCCAGAGAAGCAAGAAGTGACGATTATTTCTTCTGGTATCGACAATATCCAGGAAACCCACCAGAGTTCCTGATCTCTCATTTGGGAAATGGAGATTTATTGAAGCGAGAATTCGCCAGAGTGTCTTTTAAAGTCGTTGATGATCAAAGACAAATAACGATCTCCTCTGCTGCAGTGTCTGACTCTGCTGTGTACTACTGTGCTCTGCAGCCCACAGTGACAGGAAACAGCAAAACTCTGTACAAAAACCTTTGGAGCAAAGACAACAGAATACTCCACAACATCCACTAGAGGGAGCCACACACTGTTAAACCTCTGATTCTTGTGTCATTGGACTGATGACAAACACAGAGAAAGCAGTAAGCAGACAGATGCTGTGGAAGCACAAAACTGTTTGATTGGCTGAGCTATTAAACTGGCCCCGCCCACTGAAGTTGAGCTCATCCAATGACATTATTTGTTGGTCATTGTGCTGCAGTGGAAGAACATTGTTCATGTGCTGTCTGTCTGGCTTTAATAACTCCAAAGACATGTTGCTGCACCTCTTTTTGCTTCTATCTCACATTATAGGTGAGTTTAAGAACAGGGATTAAAGTTTAGTTGAAGCTGCTGCATTAAGCAGATATACAGACTGCATTTCACTACTTTTCTTCTTTCTTTTTCCAGGACTAACAGCTGGAGACTCAATCACTCCTCAACAAGCTGAAGTCACTAAAACAGAAGGAAAATCTGTCACACTCACATGTGACTATCAGACAGATGAAGATAATATTTACCTTCACTGGTACAGACATGATTCTGACCTTCAGGCTCCTCAGTTTATTCTCAGGAAAGGAGCCAAAGGATACACGGGTGAATATATTCCTGATAAACGTTATGGATCCCAAACAACAGATAAATCAACTACTCTGCGCATAACAGCCCTAACCCTGGCAGACACAGCTCTCTACTACTGTGCTCTACAAACACAGTGATACAAAGTGTAGAAGAGGCTGTACAAAAACCTGAACACAGATATCTGACTACTCTTCAAAGAGGAGGGAAGTGGTATTCAAAGCACAGCTTCATATCAGATGGATTCTGCTAATTCCTGTTTTATCAGAGTCACTGTGGTTGCAGCTGCTAATGAAACACTGTGGGAGGATTCACATGAGCAGCAAATCCACATCAACCACAAACCAACACTTTATATCAGCATCAACAGTCAGGAGGAAACATCGTTGCTAGTTGATGATAAATTCTGTATTGTACAAATTGTAAAGATTTCCTATATGAAAACCTTTAAAACTCAGCTTTTACAGTAAAAAAGAGAAACCATTTGTCATTCTGTACACTGTTTTATATGAGAAGATAAGTCTAATTGAATGATATCAAAGGCAATGTACACCAGCTTAACTTTAAATGCAGACAGGATCATTTATAAAGCAATTTAGCGAGGACAAAAGAAAGCATCTTTACACAGCCTGCACCTGGGGTCTTGCCTGCTGTGACAGACCCCAGCCTCTTGTGCTCAGAGCTTGTTCCTGTGCTGCCATGATTAGTGCCTCTGTGCCGTCTTTCAGTCCAGCCACTGGTAGGATTTCTGGGTATCAGCCACCTCCTCTATCTGCCGGTGGTACATACCGTGCAGGGGCCTGTCCTTCCATGATGGTTTCTCCTCTTGCTCCTTTTTCTTGGGTTTCTGCTTTCTTCCCTTAGCATACAGTCACAGGGTGCTGGGCTTTGGGTGAAACCCTCTGTGCATGGTCAGGAGCTTCCTCATCTAAATGTCATTGGCTTCTAGCTCAGGAATGTTTCTTTATATGTAGAAGCGCATGCATTTAGGCTCCTACATGTGTGATCCTGGATCTTTCAGTCAGTACACTGCAACAAAATCCAGATGAAATAATGACCAATCATTAACCAGAAAGAGTTTGATAGTCCTCTCCACTTTTCCCTCATGTCATCAACCAATTATATCCAATCATTTGATGACGAGCCGCACCCTGGTGTTCTCTCTCTACTTCCCTCTGCAGCAAACGTTTCTTTATTAGTTACATTTATTCAACATAATTCAGTTTGTATAATTTTAACCGGACTTCTTATCATCTCGATTAGAAACACAGTTCCCCCTCTCTTACTCTACATAGTTCACATGCAGCTTCCAGTTCTGATTCTGAATCAATAAAATTGAAAAAGAATTGCTGCAATGAAATAATATTTAAGCCTTTCAACCTGGATTTTGTGTGTGTGTGTGTGTGTGTGTGTGTGTGTGTGTGTGTGTGTGTGTGTGTGTGTGTGTGTGTGTGTCTGAGTGAGAGAGAAGTGCAAACATCTGATAAAAGTGAAGCAGGCACAAAGGTTTTGGACTTTATACATACAGACTCTGTTAAAGCTCTGTGTTACATGACACCCATGGAGGCTGGATTTTCGGCCTTTAACTTCACTTCTGGATGGAGCCGAGCTCCGGGATCTAACCTGCCTGACAGTACAAACATACACAGAAAAAGCAAACTTAACATTTCATTCAAAAGACCTTTAATTTGACTTTTTCCCAAAGTACAATTTCAATAAAAGACCTTCACCGTGTTTTCACTTGAGCATTTAAAAGCCTCCACGAGACTCTGCAGGCTGACACATCTGTTGTTAAAGTGATCTCACACCGTGTGACATGTAATAAAGTGATGGAGCAGTGTGAAGGTTTGTAAACCTGGAAGCTCTGCTCTGAGATTCTGTGAATCCTCGGATGGATATTTATCAGCCTCGGCTTCACAGACAGTTTTTCTCTAAGACTTTTGCCACGTGTGAATTTTATTGTGGCGCCACAAATGACTGTGACACCTGAACGTTTTCCCGCATGTTTTACAGGAAGACGGCTTCTCGCCTGTGTGGATTCTCATGTGGATCAACAAATTACTCCTTACAGTAAAGTTCTTCCCACATGCAACACAAGGGTACGGCTTTTCACCCGTGTGGATTCTCATGTGCACAGTCAAATTATCCATCTGAGAAAAACCTTTTCCACATATGTCACAAGAATACGGCTTCTCACCTGTGTGCATCGAATAATGTCGCTTCATTCTGGAAGTATACTTAAAAGATTTTCCACAAACATCACATTTTATAGACTTTTCAGCAGTTTTGCTGTTACACTGACTGTATGGCACATGAGGGCGATCTGCATTGTTGCTGTGACTAATGTTTCGATTTCTAGTGGATCCTGAGTCGGCGCTCCCGCTTCCTTCCTGATGCTGACTCTCAGCTCCAGCAGAGCTGTGAGAGAGGAGCTGCTCACTGTACCCACTTTCCTCAGCAGCAGCAGTCACCATGAAGGTATCCGTCTCCTCCTTCAGTCCCAGCTGCTCTCCCTCCTGACTGCTGCACAGTTCCTCCTGTTCCTCTTTAATCTGTGGAGGTTCTGGTTCCTCCTGCTCCACACTGGAGCTCCTCTCCTGGTTCCAGAGCTGCTGCTCAGGGAGAACCTCCTCCTCCTCCTCCTCCTCACAGACCTGCTGCTGTGGGACACCTGAGACAATCATAAGCTTGTATGGTGAATAAAGTCAACTACACTTGAAAGAAACTATCATCTTTACATGTGACACGAGTGCAGCCTCTCACACTATCCATGCTCAGACCTCTCTTAGCTTGGTCTTATATACAAATCTGATTCCTCAGCTAAAAAATCCTCAAGAGGAAAAAGTTCTGACTTCAAAGCTTTAAAGCGCAGCGCAGTCCTGTCCTCTGTTTGCTCTTTGTTAGCTCACATCTCCAAAAAGTCCTCACAATCAGAAACGTCCCGCAGAGCTGTGATCAGGATGCTCCCTCAGAGGGACACTCACCTGTCCTGTGCAGCTTGATTTGGGGTTTCCAGGTGATATCCAGCAGTCTGCGCTGACGGTCGATCTCTTCCTCGTACTGGACGATCGTTTTTTCAAACTCCAAGAATATTTGTTCAGCAGCAGCAGTTAGTCGCTCGTTGATAAACTCTCTCAGATACTGAACTGAAGGCATCGTTGCTGCCGCAGCTCACACACTCAGCTCACACACTCAGCCCTGCTCACGATCGATGTATGCTTCCGCGCTAAATTGCGCTCTTACTCGGAGATATTACTCCGCTTTCAGCCGCACAGGTGTGAGCTTCCACAGACGGTGTTGCAGATTTTTAAAATATTCAACGCAGAACTCTAAATTAAGCCTTTTCCAACAGAAAAGCCTCCCTGCTCACTCCTCACGCAGGAAACAAACACTTCCGGCTTTTCTTTCCTTACTTCCGCCTGCTGTCACACATAAAGCTTCCTGCAGAGGACAGTTGCTTTTTGTTCCGCCCTGTACAGCCCGCAATGTCTGCGTCGCTTTTAAATCCACAGGTTATAAAGTTCATCAGTCAGACTAACTGAACGCATCAGCCTGGAGAGCAGCTCGATAACAAAGTGTACAACAGTTTCTGTCAAAGCTGAAGATTTTTCTGGACTCATACAGCAGACTGAGATGATGGACTTCACAACCGAGGCTTTACTTACGACCACACATTGATCAGTCTAGTGTAGGTGGTATTCTGTTAGATCGAGACTGTGGATTCTCATCAAAACTGACGCTATAAAGCTCGAAATGTTTCACCTCATGTTAGTAAAAGATTCTGAAAAATGCTCTGTACAAAAGACAAGGTTGAAAATCAGTACTGACTGTCAGCCTTCAGACGGGTTCAGACAAAGTTTAGGAAATGTTTGTAATGTTCTTATTTTCAGGATGTCTCTAAATAAAATGTTTTCATGTATTAAAGCTGAAGGACATTTTCAGCTTGTTTAACCCTTTAAGACCTAGCATAGAACCAAGTCCGCCAGAGCTGATTATATTTTTACCTGCTGTGGAGCCATTTTTGGGAGCATTTCAAGTTGCTATACATCAATACAACCATTATAGCCCATATTTTAATAATATGTCTGCATTAAGTGCATAGTAATTACATAAATTGCAAAAAGTGCAATAAACTACAAAAAAATTGAAAATCGTTTTTGTTTTTTTAACATATATTTGTAGTTAGAGAAATTTAAGAGACTTATCCCTCAAAACTGTAAATGCAAAGAAGTTGCACAAAATAGTTTCCCACCACGGGAAATTTATTTTGAGTGTCTTCATAGTTTTATTTTTGAAATACACCAATTTTTATATACTGCAGGAAAAACGAAAATAAATATTATGATGCAAATTTTCAAAAAAGCAGCATATGCATCAAAATAAACTATTTCCAGCAGTGCAATATGAGTCCTCAGCATCCCAGACACGACACAGAAAGTCATAAAGTCAAACATAACTTTTAAAAACACCAGTAAAGGCTCATAAAGCCCTGATGGTAAAAAACTACATTTCCGCGAAAATGACGTCACTTCCGGTTTCGGGCAGGACATGGCATGCGATAGTTCACGCTGATGGACTAGGAAGTGTTACAAACAGCTGATCGGATCGGCAAAGCGTGTTTCTGGAATATTATGTTTTTGTTACTGCAAGTGCTTTTTATGCAGTTTTTGCAAAGCTTTATGTGGAAGGAAACCGTGACCGAGGACAAGGTGATGGCATAAGATGTAAGTACAACTCCTCCGGTTTCATATGCAAAAAAAATTATTGCGCTAGCTTACGTGGTTGCAGAGCTACCGGGATTTAAAAATAGTTTTTGCAAAATGGAGCGTGAACACTCCGACACGCTTTAAAGGGTTAAGAACAACAGCCACACTGAGAGCTTCATGACAAATGTTTAAAAAATGCAAGTCCTGATTGAAAGTTTGGTGAAGGGTTTTCTGTTGAATGCTTTAAATGCTGCCCTCTCTGTCTCAGTGCACAAGTCACAACCAGAGATGGGCAGTAATGTAATCCGATTACTTTTTTCGAGTAACGACTAAAGTAAGGGATTACTATTGCAAAAACGGTAATTAGATTACTGTTACTTTCCCGTAGGAACGCTGCGTTACTGCGTTACTAAAACCGTGATTTTTT